CCCCCCCCCCCCCTCCTTCCCATTTCTTACTTGTTTCTCCGACGTCCATGGGTGACCCGACCCTTCAGGGGTCGCACTAGGTTCGCACTCGCTCAATCGGGGAAGGTTGCTTGTTGCACGAGTCACACACAATAATTGCCGTTAGGCCTCACGCTCGACGGGAGGGGCAGGAGGAATCAAAGGAGAATGCATCGGCCTGGGTGGGCCTTCTGCGTGGAGGCTCTCCTGCTGCTGGTGGTGCTTCCCCGAGCAGCTGGAGGAACAGCCTTCTTCAGCCGGCGGCGATCTCTGCAAGTACTGACGGACGGAGAGACGGTCTTGAATGGCGTGCTCAACCTCTTCACGGAGGAAGGGGTGGCGGCTTGCGAGGGGAGCTGCAAGGGTGCCTTCGCCACTGCCTTCGGCATCGATGAGGTCTCTGTCGGCTGCGTGTGTCCCATGACCACCTCCGCCAGCGACGCCGACCGGCGCAGAAATCTCATGGGCGACGACAAGCAGCCCACCTCTGACAGCGCCGAACAGAACAACGGCAGCAGCGACAGGCGAAGCTTGCGGGGGCAGCGGCGGCGGTGGCTAGCGGAGACCAACTCCAGCGAGCCGGTCGCTTTCTCCGCGCGTGTGGCGGGGGGGCTCGCTGGCGGGGCGGCGGCATTGAACTTGCTGTCCGACTCTGGGTGGAGTGCGGTGGCATCGGCCTTCGGCGTGGATGAGGATGAGGTATGTGCGGGTATGGACAGAGGACAGGCGGAGATTTGTGGTGCTTCTGGAAGAAATATACCAAAAATAGCCAAGGCCGGGCATTCGTTTGAAAAATCCCTGCTTGAAACGAAGCGCATCGAAGAGTTGAGTTTTCTCTTGAGAGAGAACGTCCAGGGGACGGAAATAGTGGCAAACAATGATGGGCGCCATGATGCGTCGAGGGTCCTCGTAGCGAAGCTGTCGCTGAACTACAGCAGTACCTCGCCGTCATGGAGGCAGAAAGAAGTGTATGAAGCCTTGGCCTCCTCTGCTACACCAGCAGCGTTATCACCCTGCCACAGGAAAATGTCCTCTCCCGACAGAATAAATTTCAAGACACAAAAAAAAATTATGCGTCGGCTCCACAATTCCGGAGCCTGCCGCCAACGGCAGGACCGAGTTGGAGGCCGACCGTCCTCCCGTGGGTATGGGGCCAGGCGCTACGCCTGCTGTTACACGCCTGCACACAAGACTTCGCGCCGGTTCATTTAACCCGGGCTGTTTCTGTTCGCTCTGCTGTGTTGCGAGGTGAATGAGAAATTCGAGCGTATTGACCTGGAGCACCGCATGACTTTTCCCTCGCGGGTTAATTAGGAAAGAGGAGTTTGTGGGCGCGACACCCCACCCGCCTGCGTGAACCACAAAAACGCACGCGGAGGCAATTCGGAGAAGCTGCTTTGCAGTGCGTACGGGGTACGGGGTGATTCTTGTTACATGTCAAATTCCTTTGTCGGGACCGTCAAATGAATGGGACACGACAGCATCGCTGCTGGATACCGTCCAACTTGCCAATGTTTCTTTTTTCTTAGTATATCACAACGAATCACATCGGCCATCTCCAGCTCCGGCCGCAGGTGGTTCCCTGAAGTATAATTACCCGAATAACGTCTGCAGAGCTCTCGTGACGCACAAAGCTCCCCCCTGCGATGCGCTTGCTTGCCCTTTGGTCATGTTTACGTTGAGTTGCATGCGGAGTCAAATTGCTGCGTTGGCTGTCCAGCACGCCGGTTAATTTTACAGTTACCTAGTAGCATCTACGATTATTAACGGACGGTACAGGAGTACCTCTTCGGGCTCTTGTACACCTTTTTCTTGCTACGTGTGCGTGTTCTTTAGATCCTCAGATGGCTCTAGCACTTTCGTGACCACGGGCCGAGAGTCTTTGCTAGATTTTGGCATTTAGCAACTGGCATACGGTTTAATGTGAAGTCAACAACAACAACAACAACAGCAGTTGTTGTTGTTGTTGTTGTCTTCACATTAAAAACCATCCCGGTCTCTCTATCCAGTACCTCCTTCTGTCTCAATCTCTCCGTACCAATCCATCACTTGACTCGGCCAATTTCCGTGGTCACAGGCTAACGTACCTAGAAAAGGTATACCAAAACAAAATGGACCCCAAGGGTCAGCAGAGCGATAAAATACAAGAAAACAAAATATAATCAGAAACAAATAAAATAAAATAAAATAAATAATTAGACTAGTGGAACGGCCGCACCACCAGCCTGGGGGGGTAGCCTCCCACTACATGGAGGCAGGTCGACGGCCAAAGGAAGGGGCGGGGGTACGTGCCAGTAAAAAACAAAACAAAAGACAAAATAAAACAGAATAAAGCAAAGACGAGGACACAAACAAACTCGCACAGAGACAGGGATATCCCTAGGGACAGTCTGAACGCGACAGCAAACGGGGGAGAGGGCAACAGAAAATTAGTCGTTGAAATTCGACCGCAACATGTCACGTCACGCGGTCGGTCTCTTCTCGCTTGCTTTCTTCCCGCCAGCAGTGCACACGACAAATCGATATCCATTCCGCGTAAGATTCCCGCTACAACACTGCTGTATCCATTCCCGCGTAGTTACGCCTCTACAGAAACATCAGCAGCATCAGTGGGTACGTAGTCTCATGCGTACGTCATGTGTCAAAACACATGAAGAACATCAGTAGGCAGGCAAAAGGGGGTCTTTGCCTGTTTTTGTAAGGGTCTTAAACTTTTTTTTTAGGACCCCGAGTGCGCTGGAAAGCTGGCAACTGCGAAGTTTGAAGTTTGTGTGAACTTTTTTCAAGTTTTTCCTCCCCGAACCTTGAGGAAAACTTAGCCAAGTTGTCCCGCCCACAGGTGCGGTACAGCAGCAGGTATGCACACATGGCTCGTGAGTAATACTTGTACGTACCCAATGAAGGAGTGTGTCTGTCACACGGCAGATACGAACAGTTCACCGTCATGCAGCCCCAAGCCATACCCTGTGTAGTACCACCTCATTTACCAGCATGTTCGAGGAAAAAGGGAAAGCGAGAATATCCGTACATACCGGTGGCTGAAAGCAAGAGAACCAGCTGTGGTTTGTTCTGTCGTAGACAGATGCGACCGATGCCTAGCCCTTGTGTAACCCTGCTTGTACAACATGGATGGCTTATTCTGGGGGTTGTTCGTGATAAGTTGGCGTCCTCACCCTATGTGTGGTGTAACCCTGTTTGTATGCGTGCCTCGTTTTGGGCTTGCATATGTGTATACACATCCTGTATAGTGGTACAACCACTGAAAGACTACCCGTTCGAGGTGTTGGGTATACCACCACGGGCAGTCGTGTTTGGAGTTTTTGCAGCGAGTGGGGAAGAACGGCCGCTTGATACTGGACTTCTTCTGGACGAGTCTGTGCAAGCCTGCCTACACGGAATTCACCACTCGCGTGCAAGACTTCGGATTGATTTCTTTGCCCGTGCACTGGAGGGGCACAGCCGAAGAGGAGGTGCTGCGTATGTAACCCCGTGTGGAAGTCCGAGTAATCGCACACTCGACGGACAAGAGGCTTCCTAATCCGACAGATGCGTGCCAGGAAACGTTGTTGGTGTCTTGTCCTGTCATGTACCAAGCCCTCCCGTTCGGCGTTGGCGACCTGGCTGCTACACTCCAGGGGGGGGCGAGAATGCTGGGTAGCCCCATGCGACACGCGCCAGAAACGCGCAAGCAAGAAGGAAAATTGATCAAACACATACACACACCTAAAATCTTGCTTCATTCTTGAGCTTGTTTGCGGTACCGAGAAAAGTTTTTGCCCCCGTACAGCCGAACTTGCCAGTGTGCCGTTTTCGGGTTGGCAGTCGTCGGAAGGGAACCACGTCCAACTGATACACTTGTGGGTTAACTGTACCCAGCAGGATCTCTTCGGCGGTGGGCTGGACGTACTCGCTCGAAAACAGTGCGCATAGTCTACGCAGGTGTTTTTATGTAGGCACACCTGCTGGAGAAGTGATAGAACCGGCAAAGTTAGGGTTAGGGTCACGGTCTGCGTGTGCCCTCCTTTGACATTTTTTCGCTGTTACCTTACTTTGTTTGAGTAGGCATTCCCTCGAAAACGTCGTTCGAGCTTGTGGCTCGCTGCTGTGCAGGATGCACGTATGCATACGCTCTCGGCTTGTCTCATCTACTAGTATTTGATTGGAATGTTGGACTTGAGTTCATCCCTACACGTGCGTTAGACGAGTATTATCGGCATCATCACAGGTAAGTTCCTCCGAAGAAATAAATCACAAGCCCCCGGACTCAAGAACTGTTGGTGTGCATCGATATCAACAAAGGGGAGCGGCAGCGTGATTTTCCCAAGACCCTCAAAACCGTCGTGCGCCCCCCCCCCCCCCCCGCCCCCGTTGGCAACAATACCAGCTGGAAATATCGACCCTCACGGTCACGCCTCCCGCCTCCACCAACTCCACCGATACCCTTGAGGTCATCACGGACTATTTCGACGCCTCGGACATCTCGATCGTGTCGTCCTTGTCCACCACGGAGGGTACGGACTGGGCGGGCGGGGGACGTGGGGTGGCGCTATTTCTCGCGATGTTTGTGCTCCTCCTCATGACTTTCTGCTGCTGCGGATTCTTGGCTGGGCTCCTCTTGTGGTGAGGCAGGGAAGGGGGGGGGGGGGG